CCAGGCTCTCCTACCCCTGCCTGGCCCCTCAGTCATTCTCATCTGGCCCTAAATACTCGAGTTCCGTGCTGGGTTTCACCTCCTGCTCTAAGAGAGAGGGTGTCCGGCGGAAGGCGGCTGAAATCTGGTCAAATGTCCGGCCTCGGGTTTCAGGCACTTTTAAGAAGGTGAAGATGAAGAAGCCCAGCAGGAGGACGGCAAATAGGAGGAAGACGTATGGGCCCATAGCGTCCTGGGACAGGTGGAGAAAGAGGCGGTGACGGACTGGATGGGGGCGAGGCGGGGAGGAAAGGGCGAGTCAGGGACTAAAGACTCCAGCGGAGAGCAGGTGGCTCCGTGGAAGGACAACGGAGGTGACCAGGAATGAGAATTTACGCTGAAAAAGGGACACTGTGAAACCCAGCTCTCCTTTAGCTTTCCTCCCTCTTCACCGCCCTGAGTCACTGCACTCGGCAGATTGCCGGCCGTTCGCGTGCTAGGGAGGTTTACGACTTTGTTCCTGGCTGAGATATGCTGCTGGTCTGTTCTGAAGATCTACTAGTTCATCTCCCTTATTTCCTTTGCTGGTGGAGTAGGTGACCCACCAAAGTGATCCAAAGACCACTTGTGGGTTGGGGAGACCCTGGCTGGAGAGCAGTGAGCTCGCCATGAGCAGCTGGCCCTCGGCGTGGCAGACTGGGGCAGGGTGTGAGACCTACCGCGACATACTGGAAACCCATGCCAATGATGAAGTTGCACGTCCAGTTGGAGAAGCCAGCCACAGCCATGGCCGCCGGGCGAGGCCCCTGGCTGAAGAGCTCTGCCACGATGAACCAGGGGATGGGACCGGGGCCGATCTCAAAGAATGCCACAAAGCCGAAGATGGCCACGATGGAGACATAGCTCATGGCTGGAACTCGCTCCTAGGGGCCAGGCGAGGAGAATGGGGAATCCAATTCAGGCTTTTCTGGATCTTCCCTCGCCCTCAACCCAATCTACCCCTTCCTGCAGCTTGTGGGGGGCCTGCCGCCCTGGTTAGAAGCGGGCTGTGAGCACTTCTGAACACTCAGGGGCTGCTGGGCCCTTGAGCAGAGTGGAGGCAGAGGGAGCATGTGGCCTCAGCTCTTCGCTGATCCTGCCTTGGCCCTAAAGCTGGTCCTTAGGAATTATACCTGAAGCTTGCCAGAGGCACTCTCTCCTGGCTTCTACAGTTGCCCCCAGGCCTCAGTGCAGCGTGAGCTCCCCCAGAGCACAGGCCACTGCCCCAGAAGACTGGAGCCAAGCACCCCTGGGCCTGGCACACAGGCTGGCCTGAGGTTGGAGGTAGGGCGTTAAGGAGTATCCCTGGCTGGCTGGTCCCAGAGCCCCTTGGGGCTACTCCTGTGGGATGAACTGCTGGCTTCCTCCCTGCCCCAGGCCTCACCAGCAGAAGCAGAGCCACAGTCATCAAGATGGCGCAGCCGCACATGCCTGCCAGGCCCAGGAGATGGAGGGTCCGACGCCCAGCCCGCTCCACCAGGAGCACCTGTGGGGAGAGTCAGGGCTCGGGAGGTGGCCTTCGGGACGCAGGAAGTGGGAGGGCTTAGGAGGATGAAGGCAACCAAGAATAAGACCTATGGGGCACCCAGGGATGTGCGGTCAGGGGTGCGTGCCATTGCAGAGGGGAGCAGTTACCGAGACCAACGTGAAGACTGTGTTCACCACACCAGCTCCTATGGTGGCATAGGCTGGCTGCCCTACCCCTGCCGTCTCGAAGATGCTGGTTGAATAGTAGAAAACCTAGTGGTAGGGAGAAGAAAAGGCAAAGGAGGGGCATCACCGCCTCTGCTTCAGCCACACCAAGCTGGGCCGACTGAGTCTTTTTCAAATTTTTGTTATAGGGCATGTGTGCTTGTGGGAGATGGGGGGATGGCCACGCTGCAATCCCTTCTCCTCCATTCTCCTCTCAGGATTTTGGGCACACACGCACACGCGCCCAGAGTGATCTTCAAGCCCCTGGGTCTGAGACTTGAAGCACGTAGTCAGCCACGTGGAATCCAGCTGCCTTAACCTCCACAGCATCTGCTGGTCCCTGGTCCTGAGTTTTAATGGCAGGGCCTGACCTCCCCCCTCCCCTTGGGGAGGCACCTGGCCCATGCCCTGCCTGGAAGCTGCTCTGCACGTACAGCGTTGATGCCCGAGAGCTGCTGGCTCAGCTGCAGCACCACCGCAATGATCAGGGGCTGCCGGTGGGTTCGGCTGCCCAGGAGCTGGAGCAGGGACAGTGGGCGCTCACGCTCCAGCTTCCGCTTCTCATCCTTCAGCTCTGCCAGCGCTTCAGACACATCAGCCCAGTCTGTCAGGCGCTTCAGACCTGGGGGCGGGGAGGGTCAGGCCTGAGGGGGCCTGAGAGAAGGCCAGGTGCTACAAGATGGGTGGACTCATGGGCCTGGGCTGGACTGCAGGGTGAGCTCACTCTTTCTGGCAGGCCCCTCCAGGTTCCGGATGATGTAGAGGTAGCGGGGGCTCTCAGGGCAGAAGGGCAGCAGGGCCAGCTGCAGGAGGGCGGGTAACACTGTGATGCCCAGGAGCAGTGGCCACAGGGTGGCCGTACCCAGCATGGACTCCAGGCCCAACACCTGTGGGCAAGATTGGCCAGGAGGGCAGGTCACAGCCCTGCTGCCTCACCCTGGAGGCCCACCCTATTACCCAGAGCCCCCATGAGGCCAGGCCCAGTCACCTGGGCGATCAGTATGCCAATGACGATGGCCAGCTGGTTGAGCGTCCCCAAGGCACCCCGCAAGTGAGTAGGGGCAATTTCCCCGACATACATGGGCACCAGCCCTGACGTCAGTCCTGGAAAGAGGGAAGAAGAGAGGGCTGAGCGCAGTGCCCACTCCCACCTAAAGTCCCAGGAACGGGGGTCCACAGGTGAGGTGTGGTTGGGGCGCTAGACTCCCGCATGCCAACCACGGCTCAAGTCCTGGACCTGGCGGCTGGCTTCCTCACTTTCCCTCTCTCTCTCTGTCTCTCTCTGATCAAATTAAATAATAATAATGAATAAAATAAAATAATAATTCTAAAAAAAAAAAAAAAGAGGAAAAGGATAGAAAACCAAAACCCAAACAAAACAAGAACAAAAATCCCAGGCCCGGAGAAGGAAAGCACGGCCTCGGCACGGCCTCGGCAGTGCTGTGGAGCCTGTGGGTACCTGAGTAGGCGCCGATGAGGAACCGTCCGAGAATGAGCATCTCGTAAGAGGCAGCAGCCTTAGCGAGGCCCATGAGGACGCCCCCGAGAACTGCAAGGGCATTGTTGACCAGCATCGCCCTTTTCCTGGCAGGCAGACAGGGCAGGCTGTGAGTGGTAGGCACCTGTGCCTGGCTCCCTTCCCGTTCCCCTGCCCTACCTTCCAGCCCCATACCTTCCCAGCCACTGAGAGACGATGCCAATGAGGAAGGAGGAAATCATGCCGCCCACAGAAAAGATGGCCACGGAGAGAGCCCAGAGGGTGGTGAGGGTGCCTGGCGGGATGGAGCCGGGTCCCTCAGGTCCCTGCCTCCCCAGCCACGTTTCATTGTAGCTCTGTTCAATCACCTGGTGGGACAGCACAGGTGTGATTCCCTGTAGACCCTCTGCCCCCCCACCCCCAGGTCCCCCGGCCTCCCTGTCCAGGCACCCTCATTCTGCCGGGGGCAGGCCCCTCACCTTCTGTGGGGCATTGATGACCCCAATGTTATAGCCGAACTGCAGGGAGCCAAGCACAGCAGAGAATACGGCGAGGACCAGGGTCCCGGTCACCCGCTGCCGAGGGGGCTCTCCGTCCTGGACAGTCCAAGCAGAGAAGCAGCATGTCATGTGGAGCCATGCTCTTCCTTCCTCCAGGGGCCCTGGGCCCAGCTGGAGCCTGAAGATGCTGGGTTCCACCCCACATGCCGGGTGAGGGAAACTGGGCCATATTAGGAATTGCACGGAGAGCTCCATGTAAACAGGAGCACACACAACCCCACGGCAGCGGGGCTCTGAGGAGAAACGGGATGGCTGAGGCTACGAGGCAGAGAAACGTTGAGGACTTAAGTCTCAAAATTCCTCTGTGACCTTGGGCAACTCACTTCTCCACGCGGGACCTCGGTTTTATCTTCCCAGACTTGAGAGTGATTTGCCTTGCCCTGCCTACCTGTCAGGGAAAGCCTTGTGAAAATCAAAACCTTGTTCAAGGTATCCCAGACAGGGCCGGTTTAGAAACTGACAAGCGCATTACTGTCCTCGCTACTGTCCTCTTCCTCCTTCCCCCATCGGGTTTCTCTGGTCGGTGCCAGGAAGCCCCCATTAGGTCCAAGAAGGCCAATTCCGAAAAGGACATCCCGGTCATTCCTCCAGGGATGGACGTCTGTGTCTCCGCCCCCGCCTCCCTTCCCCCTTTAAGCTCTGATCAAGGGCTGGGGGACACCCCTGGGTTTTTGCGGGTGGGAAGAGGGCGGGAAGGTGGAGTGAGGGGCGGTGGCGGGGATGGCCACTGCTCGCTGGCGGCACAGACTGTCTCCAAACGGAAACCTGAGCTGAAAAGGGGGGGCTGACGCTCCCCTCTGTCCCTCCACCAACTGTGGGGCCAAAGGAAAGTTCAGCGTCCTGGAGGGAGGCCAGGAGTGGGGGTGGGGGCCCACGGAGAGCCTCTGGTCCTCGAAACACCGCCCGCGAGCCGGGGCAGTGGGACGGCTCCCGGAGCCCAAGACCCGCCTGGATTTGTAATATATCCCCAAGTCGGATCGGATGGAGGGCAGGGTGTTCCCGACTCCTGCGCAAGCCGCCGCGTACAGAGAAGGACGAACCCTGGACTCGCAGGATCCAGTTCGTGCCCCCGAATGGCCCCCCAGTCCCATTCTGCCTCTTGACAGGATTGGAATCCGACAGTCACGGGTTATCTGGGCCGGGTATAAATAGCCAGTCCCCCACCTCCACCCCCTGTGCCTGCGCAGGGACCGCCCCCTAGCTGACCCCCACCGCGACCCCAGGAAAAGCAGGACCCCACATGCCGAACCCTACTTCAGAGCCGATCTGTTGGAAGCCTGACGGCATCGTGTCTTAGAAGAGCTGGAAGCGCAGGGCTGCGGTGATGCGAGGCGACTGGGGGCGTCTGTGGCCGCGACCTGGAGGGCAGAGGGCGAGGGGGCTACGGGGGTCCCGGAGCGACGACCGGAGGGCGGGCCTGATGGGACCCACAGCTACGAGCAAAGGAGCCTGAAAGCAGCGGGGCTCCCGGGGATCTGGCGGAGCCCGGCTTGGGAAAGACACGAGGAGCCTCGCCACCTCGCCCCCGCCTCACGGGGGCCACGCCCTCCACAGTCATTGGCCAAGGGACCCAAACTCCACGGGCCACCCGACCTCCCCGGGGTTTAAACTTAGCGGAGCCGCCTACCCAAGCCCCGCCCCTCAGCGCGCCCGGGACGCGTCCCCTGGGTTCCCACCAGCCTGGGACGACAAGAGAAGTGTCCTTGGAGCAAAAGGCGCACCAGACGATTGGAAGAAGTGTCTTAATGTCTAGCACCGCGGGTCGGGACAGTGGGGTCTGGAAAGAGGGGCCGGGCCAGGGATTCTTGCCCACGTGTGCGGGAGTGGGGACTCCAGCGGCTGGAGGCCGAGCGCGCGAGCCCGCGCGGGGTGCGTGAGGAGCAATGCCCCCAAGTGACCCGGGGCGGCTATTTTTAGCTCCCATGTTAGGAGCCGCCAAATGTCAGGTCCCGGGTGTCCCGGCCTGTCCTGGGAGGGAGAAGGGAGGGAAATAGAGCCTTAAAGGGTCCGCGACATGTTTCCCACTCGGGAGTGGCGCTGGGGACCGGGAAATTCAGTTCCTAGTGGGTCCAGTGGCTAAACTCCGTAGTCCTGTCTTTCCATGCAGCCCTGCTCTGGGTTCTGCCTATCCGGTCCGTCCCCTACACACATTCCCAACACGCGTTCCCGGAGGCGGCCCCAGGGACAGGTGGTGACGCCGACCGCCACCATCCCCGAGGTCCCTGAGCCGCCACGCATGTGCTGGTCGCGTGGGCCACACACACTGGGGAGGCTTGGATCCGGTTTGGAGCCTCACGTAAATTCTGGCCAGCCCAGAGGGCACGACCTAGGGTCTGCGTGTCCAGAGAGAAACCGGACGCCCGGAGTGCAGAGAGCACGAGTCTCGGAAGTGCGGGGCTCTAGTGCCACCTGGAGGGAGAGCGAGGAGCCGCAGGGGGCTGTACCAGGGTAGTCGCGGCCCCAGCCCCTTGCCCGCCAGCTCCCTAAGAAAGGCTCAGTTAATCCCACCCAGGCCTCTCGGAGACTCCAGATCCAGGTGCCCAGTTACGCCCTGGCTGGGGCAGGGCACAAGGCCAGCAGGTCCAAACCTGCACCTCCTCCTCACTTCCTTATCACAGCCAGGGCGCTGCCCAGTCACCCCTATGGCAGAAGTCAGGTCTGATTTTCTCCTTTCCTGCTCGGCCCCTCTTTTATCCACTTAGTTGCCAACTGGTGTTTTGACCTCCTTCTGAACTGTCTGACTTTCGCCTTGTTTCCTCCACCTGGACTCCTGCCAGTTTAGTCCAGCTCACCAGCACCCTGACTGGTTTTCTGACTATTTCCAGAAGTCTACCCTCATTGCTCTCACTCTTAGACCCTTTGTTGTCCCCACTCTCAGGTTTGAACCTTTTTCCTGAGTGAATGAAACCTGACTTTCCTCTCCTCTCTCACTGCTGCTGCTTCTTCTTTTTTTATTTTCTTTTTGGAGAGGTTTTTGCTATAGGGCGCGAGCGCTCGCTAGAAAAACAGAGAGAGACAGAGACAGAAAGTGAGAAATCACCCCCCAGGGGGCATGGCCATGCCATAATCTCTTCTCTATTTTCCTCTCGGGATCTTGGGCAGGCACGCGCATGTGCCCAGTGTGAGTTTAAGACACTAGGTCCGGGACTCAAACCGCAGTCGACTACATGGGAGTCCAGCGACATAACCATTACACCAACTGCTCATCCCTCTCACTGCTTTTTGTACCCAGACTACACTGTCATTTTACCCCTTCCTGGTGGCTTTGCTCACCAGTCCCCACAGTCTGAAAAGGCAGAGGACTCCTACTTATCCTTCAAACCCCCTGCACCAGGGCGGGCCTTTCTCAGCCTAGCTCCGTGTATATGGTAAGTAACCTCACATACAGCATCATTTCTTTTTCTTTTGTAGATAAGAGTTTTGCTAAAGGGCACGTGTGCTCACCAGAGAGACAGAGAGATAGAAAGTGAGAAATCAATCCCCTGGGGGGATGGCCACGCTGCAATCCCTTCTCCTCCATTCTCCTCTTGGGATTTTGGGCACGCATGCACACGCACCCAGCGTGAGTTTTAAGCCACGGGATCCAGGACTCAAATTGCAGTCGGCTACATGGGAGTCTAATGATGTAACCATTGCGCCACCTGCTGGTCCTAGCATCATTGCTTCTTCTCCATACTTGAGAGTCAAGGGCTGCCGTGCACTCATTTACACACTAAGCACCCAGCCTAGGGGCAGGCACACAGTAGCTGTTGAATAAATGAAATGAGGGTCTGTTGCTTATGACTGAGAAGGAGTGGCAAACACTTTTTTTTTTTTTTTAAATGAGGAATGAGCCAGCAGGTGGCATGGTGGTTAAGGTGCTGGGCTTGCACATGGTCGATCTCAGTTTGAGTCCCTGACCTGGTGGCTTGCTTTCTTACTTTCCCTCTTTCTCTCTCTCTCTGTCTTTCTCTGGTGAGAAAGATTATATATATAGCTATATATACCATATAGCAAATTAAACAATAGTACTACTAATACATAAAATTAGATAAATAATTAATAACCAACCTGCTGAAGGGACGTGGATGAAGAACTGAATTCTGGACATTGCAGAGAAACATTTATGAATAAAAGGGAAAAGGAGAGATTGATGTGAGGGCAAAGAGAGACCTATCAGGATGGGGAGAGGAGAACCGGGATGCAGGAATACCACGAAGGGAGAAGGCACGGTGAGAGGGAAACAGAGAAAGGGGCCCAGAAGAGGAAAGGGGGTGGAAGGGAGGCCCAGGCTGGGGCAGATGAACAGGCAGTGCAGTTAATGGGTGCAGAGCTGAGTCAGGCAGTGCAGTTAGTGGGTGCAGAGCTGACGTCTAGCACTTCCGGTTCTGCCCTGACGCTTGGAGTAAGGCACCTTCCATTCCTGTTCTCCTTTCTGATGCTTCTCAGGGACCCTCCTTGGGGTCCCTCAAGAGAGGGCTGGCCTTGGGAACCAGCAGTTAGCGTAATGGCTATGTCGCTGGACTCCCACATAGTCGACCACGGTTCGTGTCCCGGACCCGGTGGCTTAAAACTCACGCCGGGCGCGTGTGCGTGTGTGCCCAAGATCCCGAGAGGAGAATGGAGAAGGGATTGCGG